CCCCCCCCCCCTTCTCCTTCCCCCACCACCACAAGGGAAGGCATATAAGGACTACCCCTAGACATCGGAGCTCAGAATCAGAGCTCATAGCCCTGAAGATGCAGACTGCAATGTTTGCGAAACGTCTTTTGGCGCAACGCTAAATCCAAACGCGGCATCCATCCGGAAGCCAAAGATTTCATTAATCATGGCCGCGAAAGCCTCACAACTAAGATTTATATTTTTCTTTCTTGGTGAATAAACGTATTATTAATAAAAAAAAGATGGTAAGAGCACCCGACGTGACATTGGGAGGTCCCGGGTTCGATTCCCTGCTAGGAAGTTACTAATTTTTTCTTTCAAAAAATTAAATTTAATTAATGCCTAATGATGCCTAATAAAAACCTAAGGCAGAGGCGTAACACGCCTGATCAGAATTTCGGATCGGACTTGATCAGTTTCTGATCAAGACCTGAACAGAATTTCCACTCGGGTTTGTCGGAAAATACTTTCATCGCCTGGTGACAATGCACCATTACATCACGTGGTACGATTTACCGTATTTTAAGAAACTCAAAAACATAAGCCTCATACCTCATAAAGAGGAAATTTCACGAGGGTCAAACGTTGCAAAAGACCAAAGTCACATGTTAAAAATCTTGTGGGATTATGATGATTGGGTGGTCGGGAGGGAAAGTGAAGTGGGATGAATTGCTTGAGAATAAATTAAGATGAGTTTCATTGATTGTCACTGTATTTAAAAACTTAGTGCACTGAAATATACACTCGATGAATTTCTAATAAATAGTTGATTTACTGAAGTGGACTGTACAAACACGGAATATTTAGATAATTGACCGGATAATTTTCAATGATGATCGATAACTTTACCGATGAATTTCCCGATAATTGCGCCGATGTGCGCCTGGAAAATTTTCTGTGATTCGTTCCTGATGAGAGTCGATGGTGTACTGACCGCCGTGGAACCCGCTCACGACTATACGTGCGTGCTCGTCGATGGTCGGGAATTTCCGTAAGGGACGGGGAAACGAGTTGGCCCAAAATGCAGGCCAGATTTTCAACATCACAAGTCATCTCCATTGTGAGAAAGTCAATCGCATTATCTATTAAGCTTTATTGGATTATCCACTTTATTGTTTGGAACCCCGAAAAACCCAGTTGGACCTGAAAAGAACCATTTTGTACTGAAGAGTTCAAAAAAGCTACCAAAGATAATTGAATTAGTTTTGTTATTTAAGAATGCTGAATGAAACAAGTTAATGTCAAGACAATAGATGATGATGCGACGAATCTCTATAGAGATCAATAAATCATGAGATCAATAAATAATGAGATTGACCCTTGCAAAATTAATCCCTTACACGGTATGACCCTTACCACATCACGCGTGTTTGATTGAGTTGCGAACGCCGAAAAGGGGTGGGCCTCAGGGACTCATGTGGTTGTTGAGCGTCATTTGAAGTTAAAAAACTTCAGGAATTTTTTAAATTACAATTATTTATCCTATAAGATTGTTTTTTGGTGCAAATTTGTAGAGAAATTCGCTCTCTACAATTGGATGAGCTGAAGTTATACAGCTAATGTTCTTGGCGTTAAGCCCATAAAGAAAAAACCATTGAGTAATATAGGTTTCATACTCCGGCCAAAACGCTCACGTATTTTGTAGGACCGTGTTATCTGTATTTTTGAACTTCGCCGTAGTGTCTTCAAGCTGTAATTCAGTTAGGAGAAGGCATAACATCGATTCATTCAAACAGTATTTTTCCGAATGAATCAAGCTCTTGAAATACTTCTCTAACTCCGTATTGGTCCGAATATGGCAAATGATTGTCTGCCCGTTTCTGCATCAAATAATTGTATACAGCTGAGTCATTTGCGGGATTTTTCTTATGTTTCAGTTGGTAAGATATGATGATGAATCAATGTCATCAGAGGAACGCTCAGCATACTATTCTAACGAGAGTTCATTGGATGATGCACAAATTAGCTGCAATATTCTCGAGGTAAATTATTATGTAAAATGTCAAATTCCTCGTAAAAAAAGTACTATTTCATGTCAACATCGACTTGATTCTAGTTGATTTACGACTTATTTCCAGTTGAATAACTCGGGCTCCATCAGTTCGGATTCCGGACCTGATGGTGTCTTCGTTTCGGAAAAATTCTTCGACGTGATACAAGTTGATACCTCGGCTAGATTCAAGTATCGTACACCAAGCCAATTATATATTTTTTCGGTATAACTTCAAAACAAAACAGGGTACAACAAAATAAATGCATTATTATTTTACTTTACTTACTAGCACGAAAATAGCCAAAAAACAAACTTAGTATATTACCACATTTTATAAAATACAAGTAAAATGGTGAAAAGTGGCAACTTTCAACGCCAAAGCGAAACTCGTACAATTACAATCTATGCGGCAACACGTGTTCAATTAGCAGCCAAGTTCAAGTTGTTTATCAGAGATCATTTCAGGGAATCCCTGGAATTGTATTGGCGTTGATTTCATGTAAGTTTGTGTAACTTTTAACTAAAAAGATGAGAGCAATGGGAAGACAAAGAGGACAAACTAGTATTGAGTTGCGAAAATTGGTTGTTCAACATTTCGAAAATGGAAAATTGCTTCTAGAAATATCCGAAATAGTCGATCGAAGCCGATCCACTGTTCAGTACATAATAAAAAGATTTCAAAGTGATAAAAGGGTAGAAAATAAGCCCAAAACAGCAAATAACAAAATTTTTTCCGTGGAAGATGAGCGATTTATCGTCCGGCAAGTAAAGAAGAATCCGTTTTTAAGTGCACCCCAGCTCACATCAATCGCTGAAAGGAATCCTATCGTAAAAAGGAGAAAGGAAATCGATCTCGAAATATCCCGAAAATCTCGAATAAGCGTAAGCGTAAGACTGAAACCGAAGGGCCACTACATGAGGAGATGAGAAGGCGCGTGCGTAACACGCGCGGCCGATCTCGTTTAGGAAAAAAGTGCAACCCTCATACCATAATAAATATCCTTCATAAAAATAATTTGAACGGCAGAAGAGCAAGGAGAAAGCCTCTCATTAAACAAACGTAACCAGGCATCAAGGCTCCAATTTGTAAAGAGCATCGTTCGAAGGATTTTTCGTTTTGGAAAAATGTATTATTCACAGACGAAAGCAAATTTAATATTTTTGGCTCGGATGGGCGACCATGTGTATGGAGAAGAGCGAACGAAGCCCTTGGTTCTAAAAATATGAGACCTACGGTTAAGCATGGTGGACGGTCACTGATGGTATGGGGTTCATTTTCAGCGACTGGATCGGGAACATTACATTTTATTGAGGGAAATATGAATCAAACAATGTACCTCAATATTCTGAAGGAGAATTTGCCACAATTCAAAGAAAAATTGAACCTGGGTGAGAATTTCTAGTCGGTTTTTTGACTTGATTCAAGTCGATTTTTTTGTTTAATTCAAATCGATTTTCAGCTCCATTCAAATCGATGTTCGGCCCCATTTAAGTCAATTTTATATATATTTATGGTGTCATGAATGGGGAGAGAGTTTTGTGTATGTGTGTGTGTCTAGGGGGGTAGAGAGGTTTCATTAGCGGTTAGGGGTTCTAAATCGGCGGGCTTATGTATGAGGGGTCGGGGGGGATTATATGGGGATCGAAATTATACAGTAGAGTCTCCCTAACTTCACCATCTCGGGGCTACAAATTCCACGAAATGAGCGATTGCAGCATTTACACTGTATCGCCAGAGAGGCGTCATCCAAATAGAGTGAGAGTGAGAGGTTATGGAACACACGTTTGAGGTGCTCAGAGTGAGGGAACACTCGCTCTGCTGTCGCTGATCGCCTAAAAGTTGGAGAGTAGAGAAGTTAGAGAGACTCTACTTCGTACAAGAATCAACATTGAGGATCACAAGAATCAGGCGTTACGGTTAGAAATGGCGAAATCAAATAAGGGTTAAAACGAAGAGTCAGAAATAAAAATCACAATTAACCCTCTGACTCGCAATCTTATCCCCACTACCTATCGGGGCCGAACGTTCGACGTGGAAGGGGATGATTTACGGAAAAAAAGCAATTTGAAATAACCCATCTCATTGCTGTCAATCTCCAAATCATGAACAGGACCTCGATTTCCAACTGGATAATTCTCAATATTTAAGGATGTTTATCCAAAATCGCAAGTACTTAAAAAAAATGTTTTTTTTTAAACTGAGAAATGAAGATATTTCCTTCACTTTGATACAAATTTCAATCCACCAACCCATTTTCATTATTTCGAAATGAAATAAACAAAATGTACCTAATGCATGCACTAACGTACGTTTATATGGGATCGAATCATTCAAATATTTCCTCTTTTTGCCCGGGTACCCCAAATTTTTCTCTGGCCATTGGATTCAGTATGATTTAACACATTACCTTGTATTTTTAGAGGCTTCTAGTTGGTGAATTATTAATTTGAACATAAATTTCATAAGAGCCCGTGCATAAGGAAAAATTAGTTCATTCATTTCTGCCGAGACTATTGCGATCAATTTTTTTTTAGAAAAGTTAGAAAAGTTAGTTTCATATGTTCTGCTGTCAGCCGAAAAAATTACATAATTTTCCTTGACCATAAACAAAAATACATTTACCGACACAGGCTAGACATCCTTAAAGACCATTCTCGGTCTAGTTTTTCATCAATTTTTTTTCTTTCCTCTGCTGAAAACCTATTTGAATTCATTTCACAATTTGAAGATATCTTTCTTTCTTGCGCGTATTTTCAGGACTTCTACATACACTTTTTAATAAACGTTTATTCTTTCTTAAGCATTGAACCTTTATCACTGATAGTTTTTCTTTTCTTTATCTCTCTATTTGTTGTCTATCAAAATTTCTATTACGTATTACCCGAGAATATGCAGAGGACTCCAATAGCTTTGCAATAACGGTCCTGACGCGGAAAGAGTGGGGGAATAGTCTCGTGATCATTTCTCACTAACACATCACGCGATGCTCTATGTTTGGCGGCTATCAAACCGATACGGTTTAGTACAGTTTACGGGTCAGAGGATTAAAGGGAGGTTCAACCGCGAGAAAAAAACTTTTTCGTTTTTCGAGAAAAAAAACCTAATCGGCTGTATTCTTGATAAAGCCATCAGATTTAACGTGGATACGTCAATGGGCCGAAATCCTCATTGGCAATATCCTTTTTAACGTAATTCGTCACAAGAATTTAATGTTATATTCAATTCTATATGTCTCTATAATATCATAAAAAATTTCAAAATTGAAAAATTCGTGATTCATAATTAGAACATGCTTAATTGACGAATTCCATGGAAATACTCAAGAATTTGAAAAATTTCGAATTTTCTAATCACTTTATACTATGAGAAATTGCTCTCAAAAGACTTAGTTGATTAAGAATGCTTTCTATTCATTCGCTCCTTATCTGAGAAATGGCACTGTCTTCGACCTTGGATCATTTTAACCCCACCATCGACTCATTGACCAATCAGAAGGTATCTCCCCACCATCGAGTCATCGGCCAATCAGATTTCTAACTTCCCACCATTGACTTTTCAGCCAATGGTGAGTTTTGCGCAGCAACCTTCTATAAATTTTCCAATTCGCCTGGGCCATTTCGCCTCGAGCAGCAGAAGAACTAAACGAAACCATAGACGTATCCACGTAAAAAATTGAAAAACTCATTTTCACGCTATTTTTCCTCAGGAATTTGATTTTGTAGTTCATAATTGTCTCCTGCCACTCAAAAGTGGAGAATTTAATTTTTTTGAATCGAAAAATCAACTTAACAAAAATCCCCCACCGTTTTTTTTTTTGAAATAGTTTTTTAAATATGATCTGAAATTTTTACTCATTCATTATGAAAAATGCGGGAGAAGATGTATTTTTAAAAATATTCGTTTATGGAAATTTTTATGAATATTTGAAGAAAAAAATTTTTCTTACCCAAATATTATGTATTAACTTTGTTTATGATTGCTAACTCAACGTTTAATGGTCCCCATACATCTACCTAGCCTTTTTTTGTTACTCTATAGTTGAGAGGGCTCCCCTCAGGAATCCAAAATCTGCCAGTGTAAGTTTTCCTGAAGAAAAATCACGCAAAAAATAGTGTTTTTGGAGTTTTTTTCTCAAAAAACGCAAAAGTTTTTTCCCGAAGTGAACCTCCCCTTAACCGTCTTTCGTGAAAGTCGGACTCACTATTTAGTTTGTGGAGTGGGAATACTCGGCCGTGCTTTCACCTCACAATCGTGCAGTAACGTGTCGTTGCCGGTTTGAGAGGTTCATTGTGCGTCCTTTCGTTCGTTGAACTTGTTTGGCGTTGATGCCTGCTTTCCATTAAGGGGTCTCCGCAGTACTTTTGCCCAAAATACGACAAGGTGCTAGTGAATTAAATATATCATATAATAATCAAAAAAATTTTAAACAGAATTTGTAAAAGAAATGCTAAGTAGTAATTGGTAAAAGAAATGCTATGGTTTCGTTCATGTCAAATTACTTAGTGAAATATCGCCTTATACACAGGCTTTATGAACGCCAATTTGTTCCTTACCCCTCACACTGTTGACAAGGTGCTAGCCAGCAAAGGAAGCTCTATTTATTTATATTAAGCCCTGAAAAATGTGATCACGAAGTTCCATAGGGCTTTATCGTTGATTTGTTCAATAGATTAGCGATAAAAATCCCTTGGCGATGTCTGTCATCCAACATGCGCCATGTTTGATGTCCCGTCTCTCTCGAAACTAACCTCCCTAACTTGACTATTTTACACTCCACTCACCCGCGCGGTGACCGGTCCGGGACGCTCACAGTCGTATTTACGCTCCACCTAATGGGCGTGATGGCTGCAAAGTGGGAGACACACCTTTCACGAAAGACGGTTAAGGGTCTCGAGAGTCAGATGAAAGGGTCAGAAATAATGATCAATAATCAGGCTCAGAAGTAAGAGGAAAAATAGGGGACAAAAATAACGGTCAAAAACAACACT